CCGTGAAATAATCCAAGTGATTCAGTTTCACCCAATGTGGGCTGGTACAAGCTCAGGTATGCGAGCCTATGTGACAATCGGTTGCCATCCTTGATCAGATCCGACAACTCTAATTCCATGTTGCCGACAGGGATTCTCCAACTTCCAGTACTCCAAGCGGATTGGGTGGGGCAGCTAAAGTGAACTGACGAGGCCGCACAGATATCGTTCACAACTGTTTCGGGCAAAACCTCTTTCTTCCCGTCGTGGGTGATAAAGCTAGACTCTCCAGCTGTTATATGGGTCTTGATACGAGTAAGATCTTGTTCCATTGTTAAAACGGCTTTGTCTCTGGGCTGAGTCTCGTTTCCTGCTGAGCTAAGAGTAGCAACCATTTTGAATCCGGTAGGAGGCAATGTGGAAGGGCTGAGGTCCTGTGGAAACTGGAGATAGGAAGAGATGGCGTAGTCTGACAGACAGTCAATCTCGCTTGGGTCCTCGGGATACACCCCGGCGGCATGGATGGGAAGGCCAAAGAATTTGCCGACCGGACACCACCAGATCCTTGCTAGCGAACCAGTCTTACAGCGTCCTTGTTAGCAGACGCTCAACGACACCAACATCGAGTTAATGGCTCACCTTTGGAAGTTCAAGACTCTGTAAAATGGGCTCCACAATAGCAAACCACAGCACAGAGAGAATAAACCTGAATCCATCATCCACCTCCAGACCATCATCCATCCCTGCAAAGTTGGTCAAGCTTTTGGGAATGAACTGTTTGATACGACTTTGGAGATCCGGGGTCACTGATTCAAGGATGCCGTCGACGCTGACCATTGGGATGAAACATCCTTTCGCCAGATCGATAGTCATCGCATTGAGGGAGGAGAGGCCGTTAGGATTGATATGAAGTGGAAGGTGTAGGATCGGAAGCTCCGCCCTCACAATTAGGGCGTCACTCCTGTAGCCACCAGAGCTCAAAATAATAATTGGTCCACAAGAAGTTGAGACTTGGAGCGAAGTGAATGAGGGTATTTTCAAGAACTCGTCGAACCCGTCTAGGGAACGGACCTGGGCGATGATACGCTGTCGTTCTTGCCAAGGCGATGATTGCTGGTCGCGAGAGTTTGATGATTCAGATGCAGTCCCGGGAGAACTGGTCGCCTTTACAGGGACATCCATCCCCCTCGAGACTGTGCATAGACTCTCGCAAAGCAGAGGATGCTCGGCTTTGAGTTTATCCACAGATGTCCTGAGTTGAAGAACCTGCGACCATACGCTTAGGCGACAGGTGAAAAAGAAGACAACAGCATTTTCAAAGTCGCCAGCCTCTATGGCGCACTCGACTGCGTCATCTCCTACAGTTACGGCAAATTCCGCATCCCCCCAATCGAGCTTCCCCGGCTTAACCGACGGGGCCATGAGCAGAATCAACTCGATGGTACGGCGATAAGCCTCCAGCGAGGAATCAGCGTGCACAGTCGGTGAGCACGAACCCCAGCCCCTCAGAGCTATTATTCGGTCAGGAAGAGAACCGGCATTGAATTCCGGGATGGCGTCGAATAGAGAGCCGAAAGTGGTCTCTAGGTCTTGATTCTCCGAATGATTGGCCTGGAGGAACTTCATGCGCAACCGTCGACCAAGACTTCTGAGCAACCTGAAGCGTTGTGTCTGGAAGTTTTCCGTTGGAGGCGTGATGCCTATGGCTTCTCGTGTAAAGAAGATGCTCTTTTCCAGGTCCAATGCATCCCGTGTGCGCTGATCATACCGGATTTCCAGCAAGTCCCCGAGATTGAGTAGCCGTTCGATGCTTTGGGGAGCATCTGACTCTTGGGCATTCTCGTAGGAGGAAATGGCAACCTCCAAATCCACGAAATCGCGCGAATTCAAGAAGCGCACGTGACTGGCACTCCCAAGGTTGTTGAGCCATGAGGAGTGGCCCCTCCATAAGTTACGGTTTCCCACTGTGAGGTTGAGAGCTTGTTGGTAAAGGTGAATGATCTTTGAGAGATCTTCCAGTGGAGTAGAGCCCGGAGAGCTATGCAGTGACCCTTGGAACCGTTCAAAGATGGAATACGCCAAGTTGGCTAAGATATGAGCTCGCTGGAGACTGTGCGGCGGTATCAAATTGACCGCAAGTTGCAAGAGAAATATAGATTTCTCTCTATCGTTCGCATCGTTTGTCGAATGGTACCGCTGGATGAGGTCGACGGAGTAGTTGTTGAGTAGTCTGGGATTAGAGAATTCGAGGTTAATCGCCTCTTCGCGAAGGGCTAGAGCTTGGTTTAAGTCGGCTATGTTGCAGGTCTGGTCAAACCGGCTTCTATATCCGTTAGCGAGGGCGTTCAAGACCTCTGTGCGTTCAGCGCTGTCGTGAGGTGTCAACTCGAGGGCTTCTTGACCGTAACAAATACTGTCCTTTAGATCTTGATCATTCTTCCTTCGACTGAAGGATTCCAGAAGCGCCATGAAAAGCGCTCTGGTCAACGGAGGGCGACTTGCAGGGGACGGGGTAATCAAGGCCTCCTTCATGAAATAAATGCTCCGGGAAAGGTCTTCCATGACTCCTTGAGAAGAGTTTCGAAATCTGAGGAAAAGGGCTTCCCCCAGGGATCCAGCTGTGTCTGCACGATGCGGGTTTTCCGGTGCCATCATGTCATATGCACTCTGGAAGAGGGATATGCTTGTTTTGAGGTCCTTAGATTCCCCGCTATACCTATACATCATGCGATGGAGGCTGGCGCTATCACTGAGTACCGTGGGGTAGTCGTGCTGCCACGTCTTGGGAGTTAACTCTAGCGCTTCCTGCTGGAATCGTCCGCTTTCTTTGAGATTTTCGATAATGTGAGTTTCGGAAACGTTAGGCACTGCAAACGCCCAGATTCGAAGGCTGGCCGCGAGGCTGAAGAGGGTCATTGCGCGGTGCGGGTGATATTGAGGTTGGAGTAAAAGAGCTTCCCGAAGGTTACTGATGCAGTTTTTGAGGTCCTGTAACTCGAAGTTTCCCTGGTCCGAGTGCGTAAATCGAGCAAAGAGGAATTCAGCCAAGCTATGGAGACTGTTGGCACGCTCTGGATGAGCGCTCGGCATAGAATCGAACGATTCTTCTTGTAGGCGTATACACTGGTTAAGGTCCTTTGACTCGCCCTTGACGCGAAATCGGTAAAAGAGGGACCGCGTCAGATTGTTGACAAATGCTGACCGACCGGCGTTGTAGGCGCTCAGCTCCAAGGCCCTGCTCCCATACTCTATGCTCTGGTCCAAATCTTCGTCGTGCTTCAGTGGATCGACTTTGGATCTCATGAAGAGTGCCAACGCCAAGTTGTGCAAAGATAAGCCATGTTCGGGATGAGGATGCGCTCTGAGCTGCAGCGCTTCCTTATGGTGCTCTATCGCTTCTTCCAAATGCTCCGGCTTTCCGTGGTATTCAAAAGAAGCGATAAGTGATGAAGCGATGTTGCTCAACGTCACGTCGCGACTCGAGTGATACGGGGGGAGTAATATGAGCGCTTCCCGGTAAAGCCAGATGCTTTCATCCAAGTCCTTGATATTTCCCTGCTGTGTAAATTGGGTGTAAAGCGCCAGCGCGAGGTTGTTGAGCGACTCAGGGCGATCTGGATGGGGTGCGGGGACCAATCTAATGGCTAATCGACACAGGTCTATTGTCTTGTCCAGGTCCTCTTTATCGCCTTGGCGTCCAAAACGAGCAAAAAGGGCGTTGGCCAGGATTCTTAACAATGCAGGACGATCTGGATGCTGGCGGGGAATGTCTTTCTCGGTGGCACTGCACAAGTCAATGCTTTGCTCTAGCTTTGATGTGTCGTTTGTATGTCTGTATAGGGTGACCAGCGCATCCGCCAATTCTGTGCGGCATCGAAACCAGTCGGAATGACCTTTTGAGATCAATCCTAAGACTTCTTTGTAAAGCTCGATGCTTTTGCATAGGTCCTTGGGGTTCCCTGCTTTCTCGAACATCCCGGAAAGTGTTGTTGCAAGGCCATGAAGAGAAGATGACCGGGCAGGATGGTCTTCAGGTGTCAAGCTGCATGCTTCTTCGTGGAGGGTGATGGCTTCATTCAAGTCCTTGGTGTCACCCTTGTGCTTGAAGCGCGTGAAAACAAAACGCCCGAGAGCGTTAAGCGAGGAGGTGCGATTGTCGTAAAGAGACGAGGGAACCAGCGCGAGGGCGTCACGTTCGAAGGAAATGCAATGCTCCAGATCTTGCAAGTCACCTTTGTGCTGGAAACGGAGAAACAAGGAGTGGGCAAGGTTTCTGAGGAGTGATGAGCGCCCGTAACTGTTCCTGGGGAGAAAGGAAGCCTTGGTACGAGAATTCAAGTGCGTCAGCACTCTTTCATGGGGCGGGGGACTTGGGGATACACTCTTATGGTCGACCTTCAACCATTCTTCCAGAGCAAGTGCGGCCATCTCAACAACGCCCATGCCTTCCCTGGCGGCAGAGGATAGTTTCTCGTGTGGGTTGACAATATCGTCATCCCACCTTACAGCATGCTCTATACCAAGAATAAGAATGAGCGTCATGACTGTACCACCTGCTCGTTAGATCGAGAGGACGCACTGTTAAGTTGAAGCTCATGTAGATGATTTTCATCCGTTCCCGTCCTTCGTTCAACGTAGCTCCCTAGCAAGGAAAGGAGATCTTCGCCGTCATTGATGAGCTCAGTTGGGTTGGTTCCATTGGTCACTGGAACTGTTGCAGACATGCCAAGAGCAGAAAGTGGACGCAGAAGTACGAGGTAAGTATATCTAACGATTCAGGCGATGAAGGTGTAATGGAAGGTCTGCGAGGCTGTACACGAAACAATGACTAAGATATGACATACAATATGTTTATGGCCAATGCGTGGCACAAATTGGATGTGTCCAAGGATCCTCAAATGTCGACTCCCCGCCGAATCAGAATGTCCGAGGTGGCAAAACATTTCAATGGTGGCAGTTGGACCGCATAAATCCAACGATCTAAAAAGAAATGCAGCAAGGACAAGGCAAAAATAACTTTTAGCCCACCGCGAGGGTCGAACTCGCAGCCTTCAGATCGCTTCGCTCCGCCAAGGATAAGAGTCTGACGCTCTATCCGATTGAGCTAGGCGGGCGATGAAAATACGGACAGGCATGCCTAGATCACCGGCGCGTACCGTACCAAGCCAAGGTGGTTGGTTGTCCTTTGTCCATCACCGTGCCGTAATATATCAAAGGGAAATGATCAGCGCCCCCATCTGTTTCAGCATCAGCTAAGTACCGCTGGACCCTGTGTTTTTAGTCTTGGTGGTGTGACATGTGGTCGTTATGGCCGCCGTCGATAGTTTTTTTTTGGAAAGGTTAGGAATGGTAGGCAATGGTCATATCACTTTTTTCTCCCCAAACTCTACCCAGTGTCCACCGGAGCCGAAGCAGCCCCACCTCGACGGGACGTCTTGTGTGGAGGTACTTTTCTGTATCCTCTGGGATTCACTCAAGCTACCCCCCGACTCTGGCGCGATAGATATTGATTCAAGAAAATTTCTTCAACTTGTATCCTCACGGACGCCGTTCTCATTTCGCGGCCTGCTCGGCGAGCATCCCAGTCATTGCAATCTCCGACTTCCACTCGCTTCGTCCCTCCTGACCTTTGAAAGGTCCCAAAGAGAGAACAGTCCTTACGCTACACCTATACAGCGTGCTTCTCGCCATGTCCTCAGTTCGAATTGACGACCGCGATGCATCTATTGCTTACTCTATTCCAACGAACGGACATCATTGGAGCGACGAGGGATCAAGTACGTCTCATTCTGGTACTTTACGACTCACCCAAACCAGAGGAGCAACTGCCCGGCTCACCTTTGAAGGTGACTGGTCTCGCATTTCTCAGTCTCTGACCGAGCTCACAATATATTCAAGGTACTCGTATCGCCGTCTACGGCCTCATCTCCCCCCAAGGGGTAGGTTCGACCCCTGTCTCGAGGTACAGCGTCGACAGCGGAGCAGTTACAACTTTCCGCGCAACAGAGACTTCAGAAAGACAGAGTCAAGCCCTATTCTACGACTCCGGAATTCTTCCTGCAGACACGCACACTCTTTTTGTGACAAACGAAGCTGAAGGATCGTTCTTCTGGCTAGACTATCTTTTGGTCACACCCACTCCACCTGTGGTTCAAGACCCTGAACCCGAGCCCGACACGGCACCTGGTGTGTCGACCCCAGTGGCCAACCCGCCCAACCCTTCGACTCCCGTCAGCCCGCCTGCCAGCAATCCGCCGGCTCTGAGCACGCCCGTCAGAGGGAGTGCGGAGCCAACGCCAGAGCCCAATGAAGGACAGTCGTCACTGGAGTCAGTAGCGACGAACGCAGCGGTGAACACTGTGATTGTGACCACAGGCCCCGGTCAAAGTATTGACGGAGCCCAAACTGGTGTCTCACAAAGCGAAAGTCCTCCGGTTGGAGCGATTGTGGGTGGGGTATTGGGAGGAATGGTTGTTCTTGGGATCTTTATTCTTGCCTTCGTGTTTCTGCTCAAGAGAAAGAAGAAGAAAACTTCCAGCGGAAGGTAAAGGCTGTCCATTCATTTCCCTTTGCGCTGTCGTTGACGTTGATCCCCTGGTATCTTCAGAATGGGAAGCTCAGCTTCACGCGCCGATGGTGCACAACATTACCCCATTCTCCGATAGCACTTGCTACATGTCTTCAAACGCGAGTTCGTCTGGACAACCGTCGGCTATTGGTCATCAAACCCAGATGTCCATCGGAAGCTCTGCAGTTGACAGCACGACAAACACGTATTTCACGAACCAGGCGTACAGTGGGTTCCAGACAATTCCGGAGGACCTACCTCCAGGCTACACGAAGATGGGTTAGTCGTGTGTGGCCGTAAGATCGACTGTTTGATTTCATGGGATTTTTACTTATCCCCTTCTCCCTTTTCTGAACCGTTTCTTTCGTTACCCCTGCACAAATCCTTGGGTTTACAACACCTTACATACCGCATCAAACCCGGGCCTTTCACTCGTTTCAAGTTCGCTCCTTCAACCTTTTGTGGCGTACCCAGTGTCAGTAGACATCCCATATCCCTTCCATTAACACTATTCAATCAATCCACATGTAATACTACCATTACAGCGGCCATTCTGGTAAAATATAGTCAAATACTTACCTTGTTAAAGACTAAAATCAACGTCTTCGTCTTGGCCTTTTGGAAAATGGTTTCGTAAGATGTACATTGACAGATCAATCAATCAGGCGGCGCGCGCTAATGTCAGCTTGGACTTGCAATAACCTGCGAAAAAGAGCGGCGAGAAACTGAGATTATGTAGCACTTCAGCTCAGTGAAGCCTTCTTATCTTGTGACCGTAATCACCGCCGGGAGTTGGCCGGGTGTCGCTGTCTGGAACTTTTTTTTCTTCCATATGATTCAAATGCTCAACCCGTACATGGTCCAAGACATCCCTCGAGCCTTTCCCCCAGACGTCCACTCGTTTCGAAGCCTTTCCACTCTTTCCACTCTTTTCTCCCCTTGGCCTCACCAAGGCGCTATTAGCGCTCTACAGTCTCTACAGTCTTCTTATTTTTTCCTAAGCGCCCACCACAGTTCCGTTTCAAATTGAGAATCGACTCTTAGGCTCCATGGCCACTCCATATCGAATCGATGATCGGGACACATCCGTCGCATACTCTGTACCAATTTCAGGGCATCACTGGACCAACCATGACTCAAGTACATCCCACAGCGGGACCGTGCGCTTGACGCGTACCAGAGGTGCTACTGCTCGTGTCAACTTTGAAGGTAAGCATCATATTCATGAGCACTATGACATTGGAGCTAACCTTCAGCACAAGGCACTCGCATCGCTGTATACGGCCTTATCTCCCCAAGAGGAACTGGAGAAACTCCACTGTCAATGTATAGCGTAGACAGTGGAGCAACGACGAGATACCTCGGCACTCAAATCGAAAGCACACAGAGTCAGGTTCTATTCTACGACTCTGGACCGCTCTCAGCTGGATCGCATACGTTGTTCGTCACCAATGAACAGGAATTGGACTTCCTTTGGCTTGATTCTTTTATGATCACCCCAAATCCACCTGCACCCCCTGAAGTTCCCAGCGCCCTGCCAGTGCCTGCGCCTGTTCCTTCTCCAGAGGCACTTCCAATTCCCAGCAGTGCCCCGGTGTACATAGAATCCGTCCCATCCCCAGTGGCTACTCAAGTCCCTGTGGGTACGAATAGACCCAGCTCGCCCACTCCATCGAACGACGGGCCTTCGTCAAGTTCCGACGCGTCTGCCATACCCCGGCCTTTTGTCAACGAAGTCTTTATAACCACTGGAGGTGGCAATGCGGGCGGAAGCCCATCTCTGACCGCTAAAGACGCGAATGCTGTGCCAGTTGGCGCGATAGTTGGAGGGGTTCTGGGCGCTCTGGCTCTCATTGGAATCTTACTACTCGGATTTGTCTTTATGAAGAGGAGACAGAGGAAATCTCGCTCTGACCCTTATCCTCCTCCGAGTCACGCATTTATACATGGTATGTATACCACATTCATCGCGATCAATTCAATGATGCTCACTTTTTTGTGTCCTGCAGGCGGTCAAACTCCATTCACTCAGCTGAATGGCAGTGGTCCAATGACGTATCACGCGGTTCACGGATATGCCTATGGCCCTCAAGGTACACCATCTGCCAGCCAATATCAGCAGCAGAATTTATCTTCGGGCAATGCACACTCTACGTACTCTCTGTGATGAGCCGTTCTGCACGACATCGGGTCACCCAGATTTTACGCGCTTCCATCAGTCTGTATGTGCATGTATTATGTAAAGCATTCAGTCGTGCAAGTGCATCAGCAAACGTATCGAAACAGTTATAATGCCCGCAGATGTGTCTCGGACAGGTCATACGGCCAACAGAGTTTCGATGCGACGGCTACCTTTACTATAGCGCCAAGGTTCAAAGTGGTGCGCCCCTATCATGCACGTGTTGTGTCGCGTTCAAGTCACGCGTCGGGTCTGTGCGAGTTCCCATAAACACCATACAACCCGCCAAGGACCAATACTCTAGTTAAATCGATTAATAGATACAATCATTAACGTTACATCCATAAGTATGTTTCGTAGGTCATCCAGAGCCAATATTGCTGGCATCGTCCATATTATAACGCGTAGGTTACATGCCAACGACAGACGCATAGCCAAACGACGACCCTTCTAAGCCTCTAGCGACGAGCGCAAATTGCTGAGCAGCTTCTCTGGTTTTCTTCAAAGCTCTTGATCTGTATGTCCCAATCAAAGAATTAGTAAACTTCTAACGAGCGCAGTGAACGAGGGATACGTACGCAATGATCGCCTTGGCGAACTTCTCCTTTGTATCTGGTCCGGCTTTGGTTTGCACAAAATCATCCTGTGCGGCAATCCATCAGCAAATGCTTTTTGAACATTGTTAGCACATACCGCGAACAAGATCTCCTGGGACCACCTCCCTATAAGTCCTGCCCCTCCTTCCAACCCAGTCGACCTACTCATCAGTGTCCCAAGCATGTCGATGAGGTTGGGTACAACGCTCCGCGGTGCAACTCCTGCGATACCTTGCAAAACAGCTCCGGTTATCGCCCGTCCATGCGATGCTAAAATCGCGTTCTTGTGAGTGGTGAGCTCTTGCGTCAACGAGCTTCGATGGATGAGGTTCGACTACTTCACGATCAGCTACAGATGAAAGACAATTTGCGTGTGCACTCACCATAAAATTGCACGCCGATACGAGGGAGTACCGTTCTTGTAACGACATGGCCGAAATGGCGCACTGTATCAACGCGTCCAATAGTCCAGGTGCGAAAGTGTAAAAGACTTTTGTGAAATCTTGGGCACCCTGTTGGGAAATCATTAATGACCAGAATGGCAGTGAAACCAGCCTTCCGCACCCTATCCATGCAGGAGAAGAACTCTTGGACAATGTCCGGATTCTGTATGAGCCACATAAGCCTTAATGTACAGCCTCAGGTTGGAAGAGAAGGACTCACAGATTCCATCGCACCCGGAGGAGCAAGTATCGTCAACCCACACTGCACTAACACTGGAAGTACGTTCGCCACGATTACCTGAGCCTCCTTAGCTGGCACAGATTTCGT